CCGCTAGATACAAGCGCAAATCCATTCAAAAATAACTCTTCTTGCCCAGTTTTCCAAGCTAAACACGAATCTGAACTTAATTTCTGTGATTTCTAAAGATATTATATCACTCTAAGAGTAGGGTCAGTGGTCACCGGATATGGTCGCATACAGTGTGGTCCATGCTAACTTAGCACGCCTGTATTTTCTCCTTGCAATTTAGTGACAAGGGATTATCTTGATGAGATCTATGTCTTATAGAGAAAAAAAAATGAATATACCTTTTCACTTTTTGAAGTACACACAACACTCGGATTTAAATCCGAGGTTTTCGCATTTATTTTTGATAGCACCGATTACCAACACTAGCAATTGACAATAAAGTTACAGCTAGCTGCATGCTTTGCATATTATCTATTTTTTCAGCGTGACTGCTTGATGTGTTTATGGATATATTTATTTTTGAGTGCGAATGTTACTCAGAGTTCATTATGTATTTAAAAAACACTGATGCTCGATCTATTCAGAATTAATCGAGTATAAATAAGACTTTGTAGGATGTAGTACCGAAAAGATTAGAACGTTTTTCTCATTGATTCTACCGGATGAATTAAAAACGAAAGTAATGTTTCCTTATTTTTACTATTGATTTTACTTATTATATCATTTTTGCCATTAATTTTTTATCATTACTCAAGTTAGATATTTGAATGTGATACAGATGATGTTTTCAGACAGTTTTTTCAATCGACGATTTTAATAATCAATTATAGAAGTTGAAGATACAAGAAATAGAATCTCTAAAAATTATTACAAAACATCGTCCATTCTTTTTCTCAAAGAACTAAACAAAATAAAACTTCAGTTATATTTATTACTTATTATTGATAACTTTAGAAGAAAAACGCAAATACATATTTTTATAATTATGATATTGTGCAATTGCCGGAATTTTTCTAAAAGAAAGAAAAAGAAGGAAGTAGACTTTAAAAAATAATTAATTCATGTATTTACTGATGCGTTTGATCTTATATTATTATTATTATTAAGATTAGCTTCAGCTAATTCAGATTTAGTTTGATAGGAATCCGTTGATGTGCCCGCAATTAAACCATATTGACCATCTTTTACAGGACGTAAATTCTGATCGCCAAGCGGTTGATCAAACCAACGACGATTAGCAACAGTACTGGAATCACGTCCAAAATCAGGTGTTGCATCCTGATTACTGAAAGTCGGTTTTGTACTCTACCAAATAAAATAAAATAAAACGAAAACTAAAAGCTATGTAAATAAATCAATAATTGAATCAAACTCTTTGTGTTGACATTGAAATCGCTCTTAATCTTCCTTGACCATCAGGAGAACGTACAGTTTTATCAGGAGAAAATTTAGCTAAAGTAAATTCTGTCGGTTGATATCCTTTACCATAGTTGTTATTCGCATGCTGTGTTGTAGAATTTACTATTGCAGGAAATTTTAATACAGGTAAAGTATTTGAAGCTGCATTATTTGTTGATGAATGTTGAGCATCGATCGATGCTTGACCATTATATAATGAACCTGGTTTCGATAGAACAATGGTCTTTGCTGAAAACAAGAGATCGATAGAAACAGAAAGAAGACTAAGATAAAATTCTATGAATTTCAAGACATACGATTTCTTTGATTTCTTCCGCCATTTTCGAATGGTTGCAGTTTACCATCAGATGTCATATATAAAACTTCAGATTGATTGGGCATTGAGTCTTGATTATTGATCATCATGGATGAAGGTATACCTTCATAGGTGAAAGCATTCGTTGTTTGAGGTTTGATCTAAAATTAAATAATTTTAAAATTTAGGACTGAAATTCATATAAAAAGAAACGTTTTTACCAATCTTCCTGATGATGTTCTATAATAGATTGCTTCTTGTATCATATCATAATCGACTGCCGTTGGATCATAAGCTAGAGCGATTTCAGCCGATGAAGGTTCTGCTGCATCGATACCAACCGATTTCGTATGTATTTTACGAGGTTTTGGACGTCTTTTTGGCGCTGGAGGTGTTACTGGCTCTTTTGGAGGTGGTGGTGGTAGGGGTGTTGGTTGTACTGGGGTAGCTACAAATGATTTACGTCTTTCCATTACTTCTTTATGCTGATGATCTTTGCATCGACACCAATCAAAATGGGTATGATCATCTTCAACAGTCGTAACATGATGTCGACAGTTACATGTTTCTTGTTTTGCTTGTTCTAATGCTAATAATTCCCAATGTTTTAATTTTGATTTACGATTTCCATTGTTATTTGTACCTGCCTTTCTTTTTTTCTTCCTTAATGGTTTCGAAAAAAGTTGTGGCTTGCCATTGAAATTTGTTGGACGTTGATGATTAATGTATAAACTATTCAATTCATCTAAATTTTCAACTTCTAAATCGCCATTTGGTAGTTTTCTCTCTAATTTTAGTTTTTCTTGTCTATTATTTCCAAAGTGTGTACTCGAATCTGCCATAACTTTACCTTGAACTTGTGTTCTTTGATTATCATTATAATCACCATCATCTTCAGTATCGTCTTCCTCATCATCATCATCGTCGCCATCGTCGTCGTCGTCGTCGTCATCAGAGCCTAAATAGAACCACGATTTACAAGAATTAAGTAATAAGATTCCTACCATGAGTCATATTTATTCGTCTCACATTATAAGGTAAAATCGTACGATTTTTTGTCAACGATGGTGGTACTTTTTTGTTTTCTAAACGATTAACCTAAATTTGACGAAAAAAATCAATCAGGAAAGAAAAATTTTTAAAATTCGATATCAAACTTGGTTGAGAAGCATCTCAGCAAGAGATTCTGGTAGAGCTGCTGGCGCAAGAAACCTTGTTGGTATACCTTTAGTTGGTTCAATCTTGATTCTAATTATTTGTTTAATCGATGCTTTTATATTTTATTATTACAATTAATGAGAATCTTACCGAACAAAACTAACTCTATCTTTTGCGTCACCATCTCTTTCACGATCTTTATAAAGATTGTCGTCATCATGATGGTGATGATGACCACCAGGATTTTGTCCACGTTCATGTTGTAATGCAGTTATATGATTTTTACATAGATTCAAATGTTTTGGATCATAGCAACATGAATGAAATTTATGTAGTTGAAAATATTTCACATGTTTTATTTCTGGAAAATAACATTGTAATAATTTTCTTACTTCTAGTTTTGTTAAATTCTTTTTTTGACTTAACACATCTATTTGTGCACGTGATAATGGTGGTGGATGACGACGGGCTACACGACGTTCTTGACTCATACCAATAGGTTTAACATAGACATTTGCTTGACGACACATAAAACATTGATCTTCAGGATTCGGTTCAGACTCCTTTTCAACGGCAATTAGTGATGTTGATGTATGAACTTTTGGATTCATTGACGATGGCATATTATTTGAAAAATTTCGATAACGAGGTGTTGCTTCTGTTGACTTAAAAGAAGATAGACGTATAGATTAATTATCATATCTGCATTATTCTTCGAATCACTTACTGCCATTTTGTTTAGCTTGTCGAGTGTCGAGAAACGAAATGGTTAATAGCAAAACGAAATTTATGCTTGTCGAAGCTTGTTGCATATAGGCACAAAAATAATAAACAGAGAATCAACAAAAGCAAAAGAGACGCATTAAAGCTTTTAAATGGCATTGATCATATGATGATCGAGCAATGTTTTTTTTTGTTTGCTTTTTAGCATTAAGAAAAGTGGTATTTCGTTTACTAACTCTTAATTTCTCGTTTTTTTTTGTCATGGTGAAGTAAAGACAAACACGAAAAACTAACAGTCGACAATCATTAAATTTCATCGGATGTTTTTTTCCTCTTCACAAATCTACCGTTGAATTGCTCTGATTATATTTAATTTTTATAATATGTCACATAATAAAATTCATCTTTTCAATTTTCTAGTACGAATGTTACACATGAAAGAGCAGTAGGATCATGCTTTCAATAGTAATCTTCGCACTTGACTGTGAATGCTCTTTATAAGCAATGATGAAGTGACTCGAAAGTAAGCTAAATCGTATTCACATCGAGAAGTGTTTGATCCTAGTTACCGAAAATGTTTCAATGATGAAATCAGTGTCCGATTTTACAATCGAAAACTGAAAATTTCATAATCAATATAGTGTTAGCAATACTTCAATTTATTTTGACGATATTTGCGTTTTCAGTAGCTTACATTTTGTTCTTCTGAAAGCAAACAGGTGACGTTTTTAATAAAAACAAAATTCATGCGGTAATGTACACATGGTTACACAATACAACGTACATGATCATGTTTGGCTTGTAGAGTCCTTACTTTTATAGCAGTCTCTGACTGCTTCTGTTTTTCGTCTTTACTCACACAAAATCAAACATAAAGTTTTCAAACATTTTCCTAAGATATTATCCTGAAAAAAATTTGTTCGGTCTATTGTCTAGCAAGATTTTTTTCGCCTGAATCATGTCGGGTACATTATTTGAATCCTCTATTGAATTGAATGATTGCTTTCTAGGCTTGTCAGTTTTCAAACCATTTCATCCTCGTAAAAAAGTTCATTACTGTGCTGAAAAAAAATGAATACAAAATGAATAATGTGCTTTTCTTTTGAATGTAAGTAGTAATCATGCACAGTATTCGATCATGAATTCATCGTATAACCATCTTTTATTTTTCTAATGAAAACAATAAAAAATTCTTGACAATTTTACATTTTAATTTTCATTCTAACTAAATGTCAGTTTTATTGGATCAACTAAGAATGCGCTGCTCGTCAAGTTTTATTCTTGATTTAAGTATATATAATGCATGAAAATAAGCTTTTACTAGTCAAATATTCACAAATAATGTCTTTTATTTTGGTCAAATTCAACATAATGTGAGTAATCGGATTGATATAATTCAATTATTCAACGCAGCGTTGCGAGACTTATGCATTACAGATCACGATTATTTTCATCTGTTATTAATTCAAAGCCAGTAATATGAATCAATAGTAAGATAACAAAACGATTTATCTTATTCGAAACACTGTACAAATTGTGCCACGTGTACGACACTGTTACAATTCTTTTGGGAATTAAAAACATGTATGATCATATCTATAAATAGGTTTGTTCACGCCACATAAATTCAGTCTAAAATATTGTGAAATCATGTGAATGATTAGAGTAATCTATTCGTATTGACTTTCTTTGAAGACCTTTTAGTATTTTTATAATAATCTAATATATCAAAACCAAGTTAATTTATCAGATCAATTAATTCTTTTCTTCTCAAATGAAGCTTGTTCTTGTTTCTACTTCAAATGCTCTACTCAACTTTTCTCCACGTATTCTCATATTTCTAAATGAATGACATACTCGTACAAATAAATCAAAACAAAAAACATAAGAAAATCAATATCTTTTAAGTTACATCGATGTCCTGCCATTGATAACATGTGAGAGATTTTATTTTATTTCTAGAGAAGAACGAGAACATAGTTTATTGTATACAATAATAATTTATGAATGATTTTCAACTGCAGAATTTTTTTCATTATGAAATATATGTGACACCATTAATGATCGATGAATGAATTTCATTGTAAAAGCAAGCAATATACCTCACGATCGAGAACTAGCTTTTACGTATGTGTTACACATATATCAATGCTAATGATACGTCAAGACCACAGGAAAGAGAAATTCTCGAGAGCAGAGCGTGAATGTATAAATAGAACTGTTATCACAATGGAAAACTAAAGATTATAATTAAATATTCTATATTTTCAAGAGATTTCTCTTATAAATTATATCTATCAAAGTATAATTGAACAATAATGAGTCAAAAAATAGTGTCAATCTTCGATTAAACCAATAGAGAAAGAAAAATATTGATTTATTTTTTTTTCAGATGTGATTCGAATAATTAGAAAAGCATTTTCTTTTGAAAAGTACCCAAAAACCAAAACTTGAATCCTCGTATCTTGTAGACAAGATCAAAAAGTATCATGCCGTACCTTTATTCATGCGAAAATAAAAATCATCCATATGCTTCATAAACTCCGCCAACGAACTTAACTTAAACTTTATAATAATCAATACTTATAACTTAACAAAACAAAATATTAATATTTAATAATATAACGCCAATAATGCTTAAAAAGAAGATTTTCTTTATTACTTATTACAAGAAACTCCTATATTCATTTAATACATCGTGTTCTATTTGACAAAATGAATTTATCTTTAAATTTACTTCATTGATTTAACCTGCTTGTAATTATTTACATACATGGAATGATACGCGATTTCTCATGTTTAAGAAAACAAAAACTAAGAAAAATATTTTCAGTGCAAATTACACGATATATCACACAGGATGTCAGTCGAACATTGGCAAAAAAATTAAGTCTCAAAGTATTACAGTATTTTATTTTTATTTTGCTATCACTGCAATCGAATTGATCCTTACAGTACAATGTTAATAGAGAGACAAAGGAAGAAGAAAAAAAGAACAATAACAATAAAAAGAAATTAAGTAACGTAAAGAAGAGAAGATAACCACGCAGGTATCACTAGCTCGCGGGAGAAAGAAAAAGTATTACATTATTATTATCGCTTGTGTCACATGGAGGATTTGAGTATGAGTGGCAAAGTTTGCCATCGATCGTAATCTTTTCTAATACATCTGAATGGAAATTAAATAAAACCTTGCACTTTGATAAAATAAACGCCCTTAAAATTTTTATTGAACTCCGCTTTTTTGCAACTTCGGGTAGATGTATTTTTTATAATCAGGGACAATTTACTAATGTTCGATCAACGTTGTCAGATGTTCCCTATTAAAAAAAAACTTATTGGAAATAATCTATTATTTATTTGTTAAATATTCAACGAATAACATCATATTTCACTATTCATTTCTATTGATCATCAGTTAACCTTGTCTATTAGACGACCAAGGATAATTCTTCATATTTGAAGAACTAGTAACGATTCTATTGTATGCTTATGCACGCATAAGTTTATACAAATAAAAATGAATTCTCGCATGCATCCTCCTTTTTTTTAAATGATAACAATTATTTTTCTGTTTCCTCTAAATCACTGATAAGCTACAAACAATCAGAATTAGAAAATATGTCAACAAAACAAACAGAAGCAAAAACATTCAAATGAAGAGGTGCTAGATAATTATTGCCTTTGATGAAATATTGAGTGGGTGTTTCTGTAAATATATTAATCTGTTGAGTCTCGTTGTGTTTTTAATAGCCTTGCCTGAATGAAAAAGGCGGAAATGAAAAGTGGTCTGCTATAATCATACATAAAGAGAAATGTTGTAAAACACTTGAGCAAAGCGAGAAATAATGTATCATGTGTTTATATTAAATCATACGCTACTTGTATTTAAGTGTTGAAATGGGAAACCAGAAGTGGAATAATCACCGTTAACAAAGAATTTTTGTAGAGCTCTACAGAGCATTACAATTTCTCTTATAGTAAAGATAAATTCTAAATAAAAGAAAAATGATTCTTTTTTCTCCTTTCTCTCTCTCTGTCTGTATTTCTGTTTTTTTTTTATTGTCATTTCTTCAAAAAAAAGCATTCCAATAAGAACTAAACAATCGAGTTAGTTAGAGCACCATTCTTCATTTTGATCTTCTTTATCAACATTATGAATTCAAAAGAAAATTCTCGTTTAAGTATGTTAGCTTATTTTGTTTGTGTTTCAATCATTGAGAAAAATTCGCCATTGTTTTCTTTTATTTAGTAACAGCCTTCGTATGCATTTCATTTCTCTTTGTATTTTTTCGATGCACGTCCAGTCAGCCTTTATCGACAAGTTTATTGCAACGTAGCAAACAAAATTATAATAATGTTGATGATGTTGTTGCTGATTTTAGTCGCATACGTCCACTGTTATATTCGTCTTCAGATGAATTAAATTTAGACGACAACGAATATGAAGATTGGTCATCATTGTTGCCTAAACTTATAGAAGAATACAACAAACATGATCAAAACAGTCGATCATACTCATCAGTGCCCGTTCGTCGAGCAAATTTTTGGAAACGAGCAAATTTTTGGCGTAAACGTGCCAATTTTTGGTGACACGTTTTAGTTTCATAAAAACCGAATAATGAAAGTTTGATGTAATATTTTAAAAAACAATAAATAAACCTAAAAATAAACTGTACTTTGAAATTTCAAACAAAACAATTATGAACTTAAAATATATTTTTATATGGAACTATTCTTGTACATGAACATGAATCATTTTCATAGTAAATATGGGAATAATAAAAATAAATATACTTTGGGTTTAAATTATTATATGTGTCATACACATTGTTGTAGAAGAAATTCGTTTTAAAATAGTAACACATTTGTATAGACCGTTAGTAAAAATAAAGAAACTGGTACTTTCATTATGGTAATTTAGATTACATGACCTAGTGTTATTTATCTCCTTATTGAAAAGAAACGAGATGAACGGCCAATTGACAAAATTTAGAAAATAAAATTCCGTGAATTAGAAAATGTTAAATCTTTTTTAATTTACTTAAGGATAAAATAGCATGCAATTCGACAAATAAATGTTACTATTGTGTTCGCATGTTATTTCGCTGAGGGCTCTCAACAATAATGATAAAGATGAGACCTTTCTATACCTTGATCATGAAAATGTTGCCAGTAGGCACTGTTAGGGGGAAAAAAGAAAAACATTTGAATGAAGATACTTTTAGACAAGAGAAGTTTCTATTTAATGTAAATGTAAAATGTTCATAAAAGCAGCATAACTCTTTTTTAATTGTGCTTTAACCTTTAAAAACAAACAAAAAACGACGATGTACTTATATTTTAAAACGTTCATCATTATTATTATTGCTAATGATTATATTGAAACATCTAAAACAAAGACCATTTCCTATTGCTGGTACAACGGAATTCAATTTTTTATCAAAGGCATACTATTGCTTACGAATTAACTAGAACGAAAATACAGCGAGAGTAGTACGATTCATCTTTTGTTTAGATCTTCTCTTTGATGTTGCGGATAGAAACACTCGTGTTTCATCAATAGAATATGCTACCTACTTTTTAATCTTTTATAGTATGTAATTACGAATGAGATGTAGAATTGTCAAAGTGACGTGCAATGTTCACTATGGAAAGCTATCAAATCAGCCCAAATACTAACAACTGTATAGGTCTTTTTACAAATTGTTCTTTTTTTATGAAGTATAGAAACAATGATGAAAATATGCTGAAGTTTAATTAAATTCAAGTTCGTCTATTTTTTAATTTCATAGAATTTCTAATGTATATAAATCTTTGATTGTTAAATGTGTACATCTTTCATTTTTATTTTGTGACCGTTGTCCTTTCCTTCGGCAATTCAAAAGGATTGTATTAGAAAACTAAATAAACAGCCATCGATTAAAGGGAGGGGGGTCGTGGATCATGGATTTTCGATTTTATAGTCTCATTCGATAGAGCACATTTTGTTACACATATTCTCCAAATTTTATGCTATTCCGATTCGGCTAGCGTCAGTTATAATCAGATCAAGGTCAAATTTTTGATCAAAGTTATGCTCCTGATTGTATTTAGTTTTGAACTGACTTCACTCATAAAGTAGAAATGAAATAAAACTTTTTCTATATGAATCAATAGAGAATTCTTCGCTCTATCTAACGCATTTTAAAAGAGCTTGAAAAAATGTT